ATTGGATATGAACACCCTTACTGTCAACTGCCAGAATCCCAAGTCCAACCCCTTCTCTTGCAATTATCCCTCAAAATCGGCCCATTTTGGGGAGTTGAGATGGGCCGATTGTTTCGGCCAGCCCCTTTTTCTTTTTATTTTGTCACTTTGGATTTTTACCATCTTAATTATATTAAATTATATATTATTAATTATTAATAATTAAATCTCTTAATATTAAAATTTTTTTATTAAATAATTTATATTTTATAATTTAATACACCTTATACTGTAAAATAAATTTTTTTCCACATATTTGAATGTACCAATTATGTGAGGTTGAAATGGAACCTTCTAATCCAATAAGTTTAATAGTTTGACTTTTGAACTCAATAATTTACCTTCAAATCTTAAAACATTTGAGTTTGTTGGTTGAGTTTCAACTCCCACTAATGCCTTGGAAAAAATTTTCTTCTCAAATTGTAGACTACTCAAAAAAAAAAAAAAAAATTATGTGAGGTTGAGAAAAGAAGAAAGCTGTACTTTTGTAATGTTTTAATTATTTTGCTGGTAATATGGTTGACCTTCATTTTTATTATTATTATTATTTTTTATCAGCACCTTCATTTTTATTTTAACGAGGACGCTCCTGACAAATGCCAAACAGCGAAAGAGATTACCGTAAAAATTTGGAACGAAAACTTTAGACAATATCCTTAAAATGATAGAACATGCATTGCCTTATTTTATCACAAACAAATTGGAGTGTGTACACACGTACAAACAATAATAAGAATTCAGTCGAGTCTATCCATTAGGTTTTCAAAATCTTAATGCTAGATTAAGGTCAAGGATAATGAAGTGCCAAAAACATCCTTTGGCTGGCTTCAACTGAATCCTTTCCTTCTACAAATGATTTCAATCAGTTGTCAAACACATAGCTATTAGCGCATTCTCAATCAAACATTAAAAATTCTCCTATATTTTCTTGATTATTTAGACAAACATCACAGTATGTGTTGAAAGGCTTTAAAAAAAGAAAAAAAAAAAAAATCAGAAGCCTATATATATGTTACTCTATCACTTGATGTTAGCAACTTTCAAAGGAGGACTTCGCAGATTAGTTAACCACTGCTACATATGAGCAAAAAGTGCCAAGACCTTTTCATTGATCATCTTGATCACCATGATGTCTTAAAGTTCAACTCCTAAGCTAACATATCAGTCCAGCCAAAAGTTCTGCAGGCATACACATTTGCTGAGAATCATACTGATATCTTGCAATACAAGCCTCATATATGGTATAGTAGGCTTAAGTGCATCATACCATGGCAGTTTACGCTTAATGCACTCATACATTGTAGGGGTATATATAGAAATAAAATGTAATTGAAGGATATGTCATGAACAACAGAAAACTACTTTTCTCTTGGAGTCTTCTCTAAATCTCCATTTTTCTTCTCCTCCAAATTCAAGATTACCGGCATCACAAAGACATTTAATTGTCTAAAAACTTTCAACATCAACAAGCACACATTCTATTATTCAGGCTATATACCACTGAATTGTTATAAATGTTAGATCAACTTAAAATTTGATTTTTTTTTTTTTTCACAATTATTTGGTTTTCCACACACACATACATATAGAGGAAGATGCGTTAAGGTTTTTGACCTCTTCATAACTATCGTTTCATTCATCAACCAATAGCAAGCTTGTACCTTTGTCATAGGTTGGTGCTTTATGAGTGTTATGTCTTTTTTACACTATTTAGCATTTACCCCTTCCAAATATATGTAGGAGATATCTTCACCAGTATATAAAGTTACCCTTCAATTACTTTCCTAAACTTATTAACCAGTTTTCCTATGGAGGTATATATTTGGAACGTCTCATCTACTCCTCAAAGGAATTAGAAACAAAGAATATGAAAGACTTGATCAATCTATAGCTACTGGGAGTCCTAATTCTTATCCAATTCCCATACAAATATTACTTGCTATCCTAAACTATTCTTAGATGTGGAAGGGGATCACACTACTAGAATTAGGGGCTTTTTCGGTCAAGCATATTGACTGGAACAAATCCCTATTATGACCAAATAGACAACACTTTGGTCAAATCCATTGACTGAATTGTTGGCCCGAATATATTGACATTTTAACTATAGTACCTAATTTGAATCCATGCACGAGAGGCGCCACTGCAGTACTTGACAAACTTGTCTAGCTAGTTTTGTTTTGATTCAAAAGTTGTCGAGTCTCAAGATTTCAATATAAACATGCCCCAACCCACTCAATGCTCCAAAAGCCACACATATAAGTTCCGCACCTAAATTTATCCACTCCATTTTTCAATGATATTGACATAACCTCTCCGACCATCACTATCTCAACCACCATCAATATAATAGAACATTATCATACCAACAATATTATTGAACCACGCATTGCACAACAGCATAAAGAAATATCACCCATACTAAAGCTTTGAAGAAAATTTTTCTAGGGCCAATTGAATTAATTTTCATACTTCATAACTGGCCCTCATTGCATATGGTAAACAATCATTGACGAAAAGGCTCACAAGAATGTTTCAATTTACCATCAAGACATACTCATAATAAGTGCAATAAGAAACAACACAATTAACGCTTCCCTATAGAGGGCATATGTATTGAGGTAATTGCTTGAATATGGAAGATTACACAGAGTAAATTGTATGCTTTACATGTAATTTTTTATTCAAAACAACAAGAAGAAAAGCATATTTACAGCAACCTGAAGTGAGAGCCAAATATTTATTGGTTTAAGCATGATTCGGTATGCATTGTCTTCAAAAAAAACCTTAATTTTTGGAGTTAAGGTTAGAGTCAAAACTTATGTAATAACTAAAAATGATCTTCTTTCTCAATTAAAAAAGAAAAGTTCTCTCTTGGAAATAAAAAAAAAAAAAAACCTTAGCAAGAATTAACCAATTCCTTATTTTAATTTTCTCTTCAACCAAACAGCCTTGAAGAAACTAATTAAAGTTCATTAAGTAAAAGGAAAATAATGCTGTAGAAGTGCAAAAAAATGCAAAGTGGGTGAGACAAAACACAAATCCCATTATCTCAAGTTCTTGCAGAATTAGAAGTAAATAAACTGGTACACAACAAATTTTAGATCTGGATGTTTTCCCTCGTCTATCCGGCATCTGATCTTCAAGATCATGATAAATATCAGAAGTACTAAACTAACATGAATTTATTCAGAAAAATGAAAAAGAAGGTAAACAAAAAAATTTCTAAGTATCTAAAACTGTGCCGCTCGAGCTCTTGTACTTAATGACAATACATCAATCCCACACCTAACATA